CTTATTAGAAGCAAGAGATACCTATGTGCAGACAGGGGAACCTTGAATTTTCCTTTTCTCATCTCTTTTTTTCAAGCACATTTTCTGGTTTTCCTATCCCAATTGGGCGCAATTGGTTGTCATAACTTATATCATAGCATACACCGTATGGCATAAATCTCCCCATAAGTTCACTTTGACTACACGTCATCATGAAAAGTCACTCACTTGTAATAAGGTTTGAGGGGGGGAATTCACACAGCGGAAGATAATATAGAATTGGATGTGGTGCGGTATCTTACCGTAAACACCGGACGCTATTAGCCATCTAGAGTGAAGGGAATATTTTAGACTACAATGGAGATGTAAAGGGCGGAAGGATGTATACATGGTGTACAGAGGGGGAAAGGGAAATCAACTCGGCCTCTTAAAAACAATTAATTCCGGGCATTGCTCATGAGAATATCATTGATCCAGCTCGGCTCCTCGTCCATACATTCTCGTGCACAGAACACTCCTCATATGCTACCTACTAGAGCTTCAAGTTCAAGTCGTTTGTCTAACTATCCTCTAGTCTATGTAGGTTGACCGTCTGAAATTCGACTGCGGTAGGGGGACTAAATTCGCTAACTGTGGCACAAACTCCTATGGCAAAATAAATCACTACCCATCATTACATTTTATAGTGCGATATACGGTTTTCTAATGTTGCACCTTGCGGGTGTGATTTAGGGTGTGGATCAATTGTTTGCGTTATAATCCGAACACTAATGCCCCGGACATGGAAACATATCCTTGTCTGGCTGGGGAGGTTATATAGGTTCCTGACCCCCGGCCGGAGCATCGGACTGAATGCCTCGGGGAAAAATAATAATTGCGGTGGGCAGAAGGAGACAAGGGGAAGATGGGATATCCTTTCTAGTTTGCTCGTGAGTGGATATTGCAAAGCACCCTGGGACTTTCGGCCCCCACCGACCTGACAAAAGCCAGTGGGTCACCCTGGTCAGACACTTGTGATCTGGTAAGTGCTGTGTGAAACGACGCTTAAATCAACACCATAAAAGCAGTCTCCGGACTCGGCAGGAGACAAGGACAAATAATATAGTCCCCCGGGCCCTCGGTGGTTGGAAGGGGGTATTCAAGATCCCTACAATCGCAAAGAAAAACCTTGTCCGCTGTGGCCATTGACGCCCTGCAGGGTCACATTTTATTCGCCCGTACAAGCTCCAAGAGGAACAACATCCGCGGATCAAATCGCGTGGGAATCCTGACACTGAACCCCCCAGCCGCTATGAGTGATTCCCTATGATTTCGACAGCTCAGGTTCCTGGAATACCTATTTCCTTTTTTGGCACCAGTCTTGCACTCGTTCATTTAGTAGTTCATTTCCGTTCTAATTATTTCGCCTTTTTTGTAAGACTTGACTTCTTAACTAACCATGTTGTACGCCCAAATTTCACTCCATCTTTATGAGTTGATTCCCTTCGTGCCCGTAGGGGCCACGTTGTGGGCATTTACGACACCGTAGTCCCCGAGCCAGTTCAAACTGCGCTTTGTCACTCCACTCTAACATAATTTGAATTACCCCGGGCATAGTAACTGAAATCTCTACTCAAACAAACCTAAACAAATATGGTCAATCGGCTGCACCTTTACCCCTTCCCACCATTAAAATTACCCCTAGCGATCTACATCAACGCTTATCCCTCCTCAAGCGCTCCTAAAAACAAGAAGCGCTCCAAGTAGCTCCTAGGTTTCATTGGCGGGGTGGGGTGGGGGGGGGCTGCACAGCTCCTCGCGGCTCCCCAGGGCAGTAACATCTCAAGACGGCCTTCTTTGGACGCAGACAGCAGGCCCTACAATTGGAGCAGGAGTGTGCGGGTGGGGTTGTCGAGCGGTACGGCCAGGGAAGACGAGAAACGGTGGAGGACAGTAGGGACAATGGCTCAATCTATCATATATGACTCCCGAGCCCATTGTTCTGACAGTACCTGCCCCGTTAGATGCAAGAAGCCCAGGGCCGGAAGGAATTATCGACTGCCCCTAATATGAGCGGACGTGACCATTGGATACCCCTCGATCCCTGGGGGCGCGGTCTGAAGATAAATGCGGGGTTTTTCATTGAAAAGTCTAGGTTAGACAGTGGTTTTCGGGCACTTTGAGGTTGAGCAAAAGATCATGTCACTATTAGCCGTAGGCACCTCCGCCATTCTATTCAAAATATGGCCGAAGTTAAGGGCAGAAAGAGTTCTATTTCCAATAACAATTACCAGATCTCCCAGACAACTGCCTCCCCCAAGCATACACTCTCCATCTCTGTCAAACCAAAGAGAAAAGCGAAACCGCTATATACATACTATGCAAGTGTACCTCTGAAACGGCCGTGATCGGTTGTCTCCAGACTCGGTCAAACCTTCTAGCACGCTTTCGGCGGAATCACGGGATATCACCAGGGCATCGCTGAAGAGAGACCCCTTTGACGTTTGTTCCATACACTTATGGCAGGGGAGGGATTAATTGTTAATCTAGAGCTTTTCCAGCGTTAGACCCAAACCGGCCTGAGACAATCCAGATACAAGATAAAACAGCTTGCATGGTTGCTAGTCTTATCTCTCCTTACAGTTAGGACTTAGCGCGTCCAAGGTGTCATAGAAAATCACTTGCGCCCAAGATGGAACTATTTCTGGTATCATAACATGCGATAGCTTGTGGCGGGGAAAGTCTTAACAGAAGTCTTTATGCCGTACTCACCCCGCGACGCACCGGGTAAAAAGAGAGAGTAACCGACAAATGAGAATGGGTATCATAGTTACTTATGATCGCCATTAGCGAACTTCCCCCCCCCCCTGCCACTATCATCAGGAAAAACCAGAGATTAACAAAGAACGAGAAAGGAAGGGGAGAAGAAAGACCCACAGGAACAACGTTACACAATCCACAAGCCCAAACCTTGAGCTCCCAGTTGAAAAAGAAAAGAAAAATTCGATAGGCATAATTGCACATCCCAAATTGACACGGCATCTATTATATAATAAAAGGAAGATTACCCTCCCCCCATTGACCAAACCCACCCCCGTTGGTTGAAGCACCCCAACCATCGCAACTCACCTGGCACGGTATGGGTAGTCAATGTGGAATGGTATTGTACCTCTATGATTTTCCCTTTCGACAGGGATGGGGTTAGTTGGTTAGAAGGTCAATATTCGATATAATGCCATAGCATATCTGCACGGCGAACCATCTACAGTCCTGGGAAGAACGGCCCAGCGGGGAGATTGGCAGCGGAGAATTTCGTGTAGTGCCACCCGAAAGTCAAGAGAGTAATCTGCCCCCGCCGGCACCAATTTGCACTTCGAGTGTGCGAAATTGGCGGGTAGGATCTTCTCCATTGGATAAGTTAGTCGTGATATCCTTCCCGCAAGTAACTGCAGGAACGCACGCCTAAATCCGGCACGAGACGGCGGGGATAACTGCTTCACCCAGAAGGTGGAAAAGCGCCCACAGCTGAACGAACAAAGGCGCCGCATTCTCAATGATAATCCCAGGACGTTCCGGCAAATTAGACCCACCACCCACCCAACAAAATCGCAAACAGAAGACCTCCTGGGAGAAAATGAGTGATTACTCATGACGGCGTAATACCTATTGTTCAAACACCTCCACCATCAACCCCCCTCCCCCGAACGAAACAAAAAAACCGTAAAGATCTCCCATACCATCAAATTTTAAGTTTTATCTCTCTCATACCATTCATCTCTCCCGTAAACTATTTAATATATAATTTAAGGTTATGTGTTAATCTTATTTTATTTTTCAAATTTGAGTCAGTTTAATATGTATGTATGTTGTATAGTTATCTCAAACTTTTGAAAACAACAAATTTCCTAATATTCAGAGCAAGCCAACTTTGAGGAAACAGCCAATGTAGTGACCATATAACAGAGATAGCTTGACTAGTAATTCTATCCATGTAAAATGTTAACAGATGGTCTGAATGTTGAGAAGTAAGAGAGATGATATTGTTATGAGAAGATTGAGAGATGACACATTTTTTAAAAAATACTGTAATTCTCCTTACTTCTTCAGATTAAGGGCTCCTATTCATATTTCCAATTTGTAAGAGAACATAATTATAGAGAAATACCTACTATATGAAGTTTTTTCCTGTCTTGTTTTAGGTATTGGGAAATATGCTTCAAAAATGTAATTATAAAAAATGTCTATCTGCCAAAATCATCTTTCAAATTTGGAAATAAAATAAAGCTTCCAGATAACATTCAGATTATGTGTTAAAATAGTAGTATGGGAGGGATGGGCGGTAGGGGGGAGATACAACTTAAAATTGTGTGGCATGGCACGTATCATACAGAAGGAAGAAAGAGAAAAACCCAACTCTAAATTAGATCATTCATAAATCACGAAAACCCCGCTCACAGAGCAGAGTATACAACAATTTATCCCTTACACACCCATCCCATCTTATCCCATCCCATCTTATCCCATTCCATCCCCGCACCCGCCTCCGCAGTGACCAAAACACCGATATGATACATCCCAGTCGTCATCCGGACATCACACACTTTTTGAAAGCCCTCGCCGGTGGTTTTTTGTTCTGTTCTATTCTGTTCTGTTCTGTGCTATGATGTGATGTGATGTGCGGTCTTGTCCCGTTCCTTCTTCCGGGGGCGCTGCCGGTATAATGCCCGGCCGGCAGGGCACGCCGGAGGGAATCGACTTGCGACATTTTTCTCTCCCCCCAGAATTGCGGGCGAGGGAGTTTTTTCTTCTATAGTGCTGGTAAGGCTTCTTGGGATAATGACGGGAATTGGAAAACAATTTGCCCCCGGGTAATGTGTGATGGTGATCTCACAGGAAGCTTTTTTTCTTTTATATTTTTTTTGCCGGGTGGGGATTATCTCTTGGCTTATTTTTGGCCTTTTCGTTTTCCCCTTCTTCTACTTGTTCTACTGGGCCTTCCCGGTGGCTTCACTACTCGTATTAACAGGCAGGAGGGGAGAGAGCAGGAGGTGCAACACATGGCCAGATCCTCCGGATCGTTGCATTTGTCATTTCATTACACACCCTAGAGAGCACCGGTATGATACTAGTATACAAAAAGGGAAACTTCATTCAAGACTTGTCCCCTCGTTCCATGAGGCGCTTGTGAAAGAAGAAAAGCTCCTAGTGCGAGGTTGTGCACTAAATAATTAATTCTACAGACAGAAAAACAGGGGAGACCACGATGGCTACCAAACGCCGCAGCAGACAATGATAATCCGGCATAATAGCAAAAAAGTAACAAAGATGCCCACTTTTTCCAGTTCCGTTTCCAATTCCAATTGTAATCAGCATCTCTTTTCCTACCCATACAGACGGGCTCAGACTAGATTAGCTATCGAACTTGACAAATCCCCACCTCATCCCCTCCCAAAACTCCTCTTCGGAAATGGCGCTCCACTCCCCCTTGACATCGTCATCCCCATACAACCCCGTAGCACCATACGGTCCCTTGAGCGAGACATGCTCCACGGGTCCCCACCCCATCTCGCTAACCACCTTTGCACTTTTATAATTCCCGTGAACTAGGCGAGTCTTTGTGTCGAATAGAAACTTCCCCACGGAAATTTCTACGCCAAGATCCCTCTTCACGCCGAGAAGCTCCCGTGCGCCTTCAAGAAGCTTACTGAACTCCGCAATGTTCTCGTCGACCGTTGAGAAACGACATACGCCGCTTCCGGCGATGCGCAGACGGACCGTTTCGTGCCAGGCGACAGAGTGACGCGAGAACAGTTCCGGACACGCGGTTGGGAGAGTAATGGCCAGGTCTTCGAGTTTGGGGCAGGAAGATAAAAGTGTGCAAATGTGGATTTGCGGGTGGGATTCGACGGAGGAAGGGTGAGTGAAGCCCGAGTCAGACAGGGGTTTGTATTCCAGGAGCTTTAGGGATGTGCGCGACGCTGAGACCAACGCTGCAAGGCCCTTGATAGTGATTGAGGTAGAGCTAGTAATGTGGATTTCCTGTAGGGACGTCGCGGTACGGGAAATAGTGATTAGGTCGTCGTCGGTAATGGGCAAAAGGTTCGAGTCCCCGAATATCTTTAACCTTGTGATCCGTGAGAAGTCCAGCGACAAAAGGATGTTATTATCTGTGCGGTTAACCTCAGCAGAAACAAGCGAGTCCTCCAGATCCACCGCCAAGAACTCGATACTCGTCAATTGAGGAAACGACATCAAGTTCTTCCAGTCCTCCTCCGTCCCGTAACGCAAGGAAGTCCATGGAATCGCGGCTGTGTGTAGGCCGGTACAATTTCCGAGTATATCGAATATGTATCTACTCGTGTCGAAATGATAGATCCCATTGAACCAGACTCTGCGGACGTGCTGCGCGATGTGCGGGTAGTCGCGGAGGAGGGATATGGTGGACTTGACGGAAGAGTACGGGTGTTGATAGACTACCGGGAATACACCGGCGGCGGCAGAACTTCGGGTTTGCTCTTCGGTACTTTTGTATAGCCAGCTATTACGATGATTAGTGAGTTATTTGTGGTTGACGGCAGGTTAAGATCGGGTATCATACCGTTCACCACCCCTCCACTTCCGGACGTATATCTCCCTCATGGCATATCCCAACGCCCACTCGTGCCATCTTGAATTCACAAGGCGGAAGCTGTTGACCAGGTGCCAACGCAGCACATCTGGGGTTGTTCGTCCACGGAGGTATATCTGTGTCTGCGTCCTCTGCAAAGTCCTCTGCGCCTGCGTAAGGCCATAAGTATAGCTGGGGGTGTCGGTGGAGTTTAACTGGGCTGCGATGGAGAGAATGTCCGAGAGTATCTCGAAGGGGAGATCTTCGATTGATGGCATTACGGCGTGGATATCTATCGATGCATGGGGTGTAGAAGAGCAGTATGAGAAAGTATGAATAGGTTGGTATGTGGAGAGATAATCGAGCTTAATCAAAGTAAGCAGTCCTCCTATGGGATGCTTGGGGGTTTTATAGCTAGCTACCACAAGCCACAAGTCCCTCCCTTTCCTCCCTACCAACTTTCCCCCTAGCACGGTGCATTGGACTTATGACCGACGAGTCGACGAATCTTTACTCCGTAAGTCACGATGCGTTCCTGCAAAAACGTAATTAGCACGCTATAGTGCCCACCACCCCAAACCATCCACAGTAACTTGCCGTGGAAGACAGGGCAAGGCAGAAAAAAAAAAGGCGAGCCAAGGGTAAGTTAAAGGGTCGGTAATGATGGCATGCATTTTTGTTGAGCTTGACTAAAGCGTTACCCCTAACGGCGGGCCTAGGCGAGAGTGAGAGCCGTCGTCCGGGGCAGACAGGGGGCCTGCTATCCGCCCTCCTGACTCGTCTTGTCCGCACTTTGGCAATCCCTTAAGGTACAGTGCAAGAAGCTAGGAGTTGTGTCGTAGGTTACGGTCTGGTTCTCGCCACGATGGGTCTGATGCGAGGTCGTCGAGTGGAGTTTAGACCCTGTCATGGTGGGCGAAAGGGGCCAATGGGTGATCTTTTCACCGGTTGTACTGTACCGGTACCGTGCTCGAGTACCGTACTCGTACAGTGCAGGTACCCTACCGCGCCTTGTCCGTCTTTCCACTCCAGCCTATGCTGGTCCGACTGGCTTTTCTCCCTTTCTTCCATAGATTAGATTCCGCTTCAGTTCTCCCTTCCATTCGCTTCCAACAGGGAACCAAAGGATGATGTTGAAAAAATCGTCAACCATGGTGAGAATGACATAATACCTCTCCATCCAACTTGGCATTTATAATTCTTCCGGAACTGGATGCCACCTTTGCCTTCGCTCATTTGCATGGGAGAGGTGAAGACGGGGAAAAAAGAAAACAGCCATTATGGTGGGTGCGTTCCGTTTGGACCATAAGTCACATAATCCCTGTCTAGGAGTGTGTGCTCCAGTTTGCTGCGGCATAACGCACGGCTTCCCCACAAAATCGAGGGAGAGAGAGAAAAGAGGGTTCGTGGAAAGGCTGAGTGTCAGGAACGATGGGCTCTCTTTTTGCTGCCTCGGAAGGAATGAGGAAGGGTGATGGCGTTCTAGCTTTCCCAAAGGTTGCGAAAAGGGCCAACAGCCCCCCATGTTTTTTTTTTTCTTTTTCTTTTTTTTTTGCGGGAGCTTGATCACACAACATCCACCAGGGCCCGTACCGAAATATTCGCCCCGAAGAATCAGATATACCGTGAATTCACGCGCTCAGTGGCTTGCCAAGTGTTAATTAGACAACGGAGAGCTCTGAGAAAAAAAGAAAGAAAAAAAAATTGGATTCACAACCTTTTGTCCAACGAGTTTTTCTGCAAACTCTAGGAAACTACAATACAAGTAACTTGGCCGGCGAGACAGGGGTGGGTACTCAGGGCTGGAAGGGATGAGTAATGGGTGGGAAGGGAAGAGTGAAAAGGAAAATGGAAAGGGAAAAGAACAAGGAAAAAAAAAACAACTCAGATGCGCCCTTGCCCACTTCGATTCTAAGGAAACAAGAATCTCGTGATTATTTATTTCACTTTCCACCTTTTCACTTCCCTGCTATGGGAGGGGGAAACCGTCTGAAGGAGTTTTTCCTCGAGTTCTCGAGTACAGCTTGCATACAATCCATGGCAATATCATGCCGACACTCTACTCGAGTGCGGTACTCGTAGAGCATTAAGCATTCCCGGTAAGATAAGTCACGGCAGAGCAGAGAGTACGGTACTCAGGGTGTGTACATCAAAATCGGAAAGACCAATAAAATACCCCTGGGCAGAAAACAGTAAATATAGAAACCCCCAATTAGGATCCGCAGCCCGAGAACCAATACTAGTACTGTACTCGTTGTACAGCATGTCGAGGGAGAGAGGAGAGTACTGGTATATCATACTCTATGATAGTACGGGGGGCAGGATCCAGTGAAACCCGGGGCAAAACTTTGCGAGGCCAGAACAAACCGTATCCTCCTCTTCTTACTTGCACTCGACACATTTTTTTTTACACTTGGTTCGCCCTCTATTGGTCTCCTACTCCGCATTACCGGTATCATGTTACAAGTATTTCTCCTGGTGCAACATACCTTATTTAAGACGTCTATCTACATGGTTGAGCGTTCCAGATCACGATCACTTCACCTCCATTCTCCCAACCCCTCTGGTCCTTGTTTTGTCGATTTTTAACAGATATGCCCGAGTATCATACTTCTGAATGTATGATTGCCATTACTCCTAATTACTATATTGGAGGCACAAGATAAAAGCTGAGGGTGAAAGGTTTTTGTTGGCCTGCATGAAAAAACGTTGCTGGCATGCGAGAGAGAGGACCTGAGATTGGCTTGCACTGCCCGAGTACAGGTACGGTACGGTAGAGTATCGGTCCCGGAATAACCCTAAAGGGTGAGAACGTGCGGTTTCCGCACCCTTCCAAATCTAGAGCACGCATCCGTTGGGAGGATAGTGATTAATCAGCCAGTAATTTCTACCCACCTCCCTGCCATGCTTTTCGCAATACCGGCATCATACATCAATCTAACCCCCCTCTCTCACAACACACAACACACAACACAACACCACCACATCATCTCCAGAATTCAGATAAAAATGGAGGAAAAGAGTCTCACGATACCTACCAACCTTCCCAAACGTACCCCTCTTTTTGCCCACGATGGAAACCACGCTTAGACCAACCCCACCTGCATTCACTTACGTACAAGCCTCCCCAATTCGGGCCCCCGTACCTTCTCATCCGTGCTGTAAAAGGTACTGTGGAAAGCAAGCTCCGCTCGGAAGAGAGCATCGTGAGTTGTTCCCTAGCGTTCAAGCGCCAAAGCAACCCCAACACATGACCGGTTTTGACAAGAAAATTTCCCACCTCACGCGTGGAGCTCCTGTGTGTGGGCGCACGAGTGAACCTAACGTGCTGCAGCATGGTGTGGTTAGGAGTAGTTAGCCGTGCTATTTTTGCGCAATAGCCTGGGCACGGTTCAATATGGTACGAGTAGAGTGCGATGCCCAGAGAAAGCAAGAGTGTGGACAAAGCAAATGGGGTTGGCGAATGGCGCTATGGCGATCTCCACGTTCCCGCTCATTGGGATGATGGATGGTTTTGAAGTTCTCGGCTTTCGAGTTGGGGCGCTTGGGGGGGGGGGAGTAGAGTACTCGAGTAGGCAATAACAACTTCACCATGGGGAGTAAATTACTGGTGCTTGAGTATCATACTGACTGAGTCGCAAATTTATTTCTGACTCGTATCATAAGCGAAAATTTTCTCGAGAAGCCCTCCTGCGTCACGTGAAGTATGATAGTCTGCCGCCCTCTAGCCGTCCCGCAAGTGTAGGAAACTCCTGAAGCTTTGAAAACACTTCAGTCTAGAACCTCCCGAACGAGGGGGCTGACATCACGGGTGTACAGTATGATACTCGTACTGTGCCCCTGATGGGTAACTTATTTAGCAACTAGATACCGGCAGCACTCCTGCGGGGAAAAAAACTCTATCCAAACATCACAGCCTAACCAACCCAGTTGTGAGAACAAAGACAGATACCCCTTCTCCTCCTAGAGTAATTCTCGAGCCGTGATCAATCCCCTGTGGCAACGCGGGAAGATTAACCTGGATACTTGTTCGAACGATACCTGTAGTGTGCTCGTACTGTACAAGTACTTGTACCATGACCATCATCATCGTGGGAGAGAGAAAAAAGAAAATCTTCCATACCGCACAAAACAAACGTCATTGTAATCGCCTTTGCCAAAAAAAAAAAAAAAAAAAAGCAAATACATGAATTCTCATCTCGTCTACTCGTAACCAGTCCGTCTCCTCCATCGAACCTGTCGCGATCGGTCAGACGAGGGCTGGACTAGATCGAAACATTCTTGGCGTTTTTATTCTACCTGTATTGATGCAGGAGCCAGTGCAGCACTGTAAAGTACTGTACGGTACAAGTACGAGTACTCGAGTTCGATACAGTACCGGCCGAGTGAAAATTGTGTACCGGTATTGCACGGGTCTACCTCCGGAGCCAGTATTCCCACTTTACTCGAGTAGGGGAGAATTAATTGTCATAGGGAGGTGTCCCGCCAGAAAACGCTCAATTGCCGGCCGCATCGTGACTTTATCGTATTATTATCATACCAGTCCAACCATCCAAGGCCGAATACTTACCGGCAGCTCACCTATAGCTAGCTACAGTAAATTATATCCAAGTACCGGCAGTCTTCAGCGCCCGCAGCATCGCGGGCGCTGCATTCCAGTGCCAACACTACTACGGCACCATACCGGTGGGGAAGTTAAATCCCCTCCAGCCACACATCCCCTCGCGTTTCAGCTTCCTCACCTTCTCCATCATCGCTTCCATCTATGCTCACCCACCCTTTCTTCAACCTTGCGCTCCCAAGGAATCGCAAAGCACACGACCGTACGAGTTTGACACACAAGTATCCCCGCCGAGGCCTTACATGTTGACCTGAATCTCGGGGGTTAGTGAAGTGGCCATGGGCAGCGATGCGCGTGATCGGTATGATACAGTAAAGGTTCCAAGGCAGCACGAGGACTATACTTGTACCACTCCCACCGCCTATTATCTGACAATGAGCCGCAAACTGTTTCCCTCCTGAATAGCACCCCCCGACACTCGCGTCTTTGATATGAGCACAGGATCGCTCGCTCATTTGGCATCGTCTTCGCGCAGATGGTAAAACAGAATCCCGCAAATTATTCTCCTGTTAGAGATTGGAGAGCATGGCAAGCTGATGGAGGGGGGGGGGTAGGGTGGTGCAGCCCCGCGGCGGCGTGAGTATGGTTGAGTACTTGTGGTGTGTAGCCCCCGCAATTTGAGGGGGGGGGCGGATTGATGAGATTGTTGCGAACACCGGGATTAGTGTTGGAGTGTACGATTACAACGAGAGTGTCGACAGAACCGGCTCCTTTCCTCCATAGCCCCATCGGGAATCTAACTAATGAATGGAGGATGCAAGATACGCTTTTCCCGATAAACCATCTCGCACAAATGCATCTCACTCAGACACTCCTGCCAAATAAGATTGCCGCATCAAAACAGAGCTAGGATGTTAGAATCGCCCAGCGGTCCTCGGACCTGCGCAGACTCTCCCCGAATATAAATTCCATACCTCTCGGAGAAATCAACAAATACATCGGACCGGCGAATCTCTACAACGGAACAAGACTATTGTAGCGCAAATTCTTTTCGTCCGGAAGTTGGCCGCCCTGTTGGGGGCCGAGCCGAACGCAGCGAAACTTCTTTACCAACACGACGCACACCGGAGCTGACCACATCTCAACAAGTTCAAGCGGATGAGACATATGGCGCTGCGGGTAAGGTTGCGGGTGCTGTGACGGGGTCATTCACGAAGGATTTAGTTACCTAGGGACTGTCGTCCTTGCATGTTGTCGCTAGCCCCCAGATCAAGAAGCAGAGAATTACCGGATAGTATGCATGCTATCTAGCCTTGGATGTACTAGTAATTGATTTAGGCGAACCAACATGAGTACGAGTACTCGAGTACCGGTATTGCAAGGCTAGCGAGCCGTCCAAGCAAGCTCGGGACGTCGATCCTGTGAATAGCCTATGGTAAGGTACTGTACCTGGGTGAGGTTGTCGGGGGAAAAATTGTTCAAGTTACCGTTGTGCTTTATTATCTCTCCAACTACGAGTAGAAT